ATAATGCTGGTTGCTTCCGGCTTCCGAACATTTATCGTAGGATTTCTCCTTGAAAACGCATAAAACCAGTCCTTTCCTGCCATTTTGGATAAATGGCAAAAATTGTGCTTTATATTGTTACTGGTTACATATTCATAAGCAATTCGTCGGACCTGCTGGGGGCTAACACCGTAAAATAGATCTGACAGATATTTTATACGGTTAGCTAGAACGGCTTCTTCCTCCAAAGATAACGTAGTTTGTCTTCCCATACGTGATTTTCTTTCCTGGAGTGTGCTAAACGGAATTGCAAGGCATTTTGAAGTTGCTCGGGGGTCCACTTAGCTTTGTTTCCTTTTTTGATGTAAGTCTTAGGCATCTGTAACAAATACGACACATTGATTTAAAATTAAAAATATACACCCGACTTAGTCACAGGAAGGCCTGTGGCGTAATACCAGTCACGACTGGTATTACCCCAACCGTTTTGTCCTGCATTTCCCGAAAGCAATCCGACGACATAAACCTAACCTAAAATTATTTATCTTTATTTAAGCGCCTATAAAAGCAGGATCTAAACGACAAGATGCCTCTTAAGACATTCCTTATAATTCCGTGCAAAAAAATAATTTATTTGGGTATTTACGTTGGTTTATGTTCGTCAAAATATTACAAGAAATTCTGGCAATAACTTGACCACAACAACAGATGTCTTAGACTGGAGCCTTGAAAGCGAAACGCGGTGGATTTAACTTGTACCACTGCATAATAGATGGCGCCACATAGTTAACGGGCGACTACGTTTGTAGCGGAAAATTACTAGTGACCGGAATTACCCACCCGACTGGAATTCCCCCACTCTCCCCTAATATTTTGTATCCTGTTCTTTGGATGTATTATTGATTTCCTTTTGGATACTTAGATACCTACTTTCATTTAAAACAATCACCTAGGTAAACTTTGTTTATGACTTTTTCTGTTTCCAACTTAATCTTTTATTTCATTAAAATTTACGGTATCCTATCATTTTTCCTGTTCCAATAAGCGGTTAGTGATTCGTGTAAGTAATAATTTTGTGTTCGTGACTTTATTCATTACTAAAATTAGATATTTAATGGTAGTAGTAATAACTGATACGTACATAGTCATTTGTCAACAAAATATAAGTAATTGTTTACATTTTTTTTTTCGTATGTATCTTCTATCTGCTTTCGGAGGTGGCAAAAGTGCTTTTACTGCTCTGTCAATGCCTTGTTATCAAAAATGCTAAACATCAACGTCTTCAAATTGATAGTTAAATGTCAGCTTTTCAAACTTTTGAAGGAAAAGAATATACCTAACCACAGAATACCTTAAAGGCCAATACTTATTAACAATCACTTTATTTTTGATTCCTATAGTAAAACAAAATTGCTTTTAGTCGAGAGGCAGTTTAGACAAAGATATTCTCCCTATTTCTTTCATTTTAAACTGTTCATGTGGTATTTATTGATTTTATTATTCCTTTGAATAATATTATAAGATCAAACGAACTTACCTTAGGTGAAGTATGATCTTGATTATTTACTGCGAAAATGAGAAGTAAATAGAGTCAGTACTCATTTATGAGCGTTCATTGTTATTATTACAATTAGATAAAATTGACTCTTGCATTTCGAAGATAAATACTCTCCAAGCTGAAAATATTTCCTTACATACAAAAGTATCGGATTTAGAACAAAAAGTACAATCTATAAAAACTTAGGAGTTTTTTTCAGAGGTCACTGATCGCATAGAAAGGCAAAATAATATAATTTTGTATGGAATAAATGAAAATTTAGATCATGTACAGGTTGTCCCTGATGTGTTAAATGAAAGCTGCTCCGGCAAAAATCAAAATTAATAACATGCATAGACTTGGAAAACTAAAATTGAATGCTCTTCCTCGTCCACTGAAAATTGAATTTTTCAGTTAACAGGAAGCCTTATTAATTTTAAGAAATAAAAGAAATTTGCCGAAATTTGACGTAGCGCAGTGGGTAAGGTGTTGTACTTACAGTCTACCTACGCGGATAGAGGTAGGATCGAATCTCGGCGCCGACGTTTTTTTTTTCTTTTTTTTTTATTTTATTAATTTTCATTTTCTTTTTTCATTTCTTTTTTTTTTCTCTTTTTTTGAGACCCTCCACAATAGTAAGAACAGCAACAGTTAAAAATTTATAAAAAACAACTTTGATTTTGTTTTCAAATGGAAAAAAATTCAATACAAACCTTAAAAAATAGAGGACAATCATTGAACATTAAAAAAAAAACAAAACGAACTTTAAAAAATTACATAACTAAGATTAAAAAAAAAATACAAAACTAAGATTAAAAAATTACAAAAAAATAAAAATTATAAAATGGAATCCAATAGACAATAATAAATTACAATCAATAATAAAAGAACACGAATTTATTTTTAATGTAATAGGTGCTCAAATAGACCTCCTTCTTGGACAAGACAGTACCCCAAGCGATCGTAAAATGATCGCCTTACTTCAACCAACATATTAGGACTAATAAGTTGAACGCCTTCTGAAATTTTCATTTTCAGCTCATCTAAGTCGTTAGCTCTTTCTTCCCTGAATTTGTATATCTGAGACTTTAAATAACCCCACAAAAAAAAATCACAAGGTGCTAGATCCGGCGATCTAGCTGGCCACAAAATTGTACCTTTCCCTGATAATAATCTGTTGGGAAATGTTTCATTTAAAAAGTGCTGCACCGTCACACGATTATGCACAGAACATCCGTCTTGTTGAAACCAAATATTGTTAAATCGAGCTCCTGCCAATCTCCGTATCTCAGGAACAATATGGTGTCTGAGTAAATCCAAATATTTAACACTATTTAAATTACCCTCAATATAAAAAGGATCGATTACATTTTCACCTAGTATTCCCATCCAAACATTCAACTTTTGCGGGAACTGCGTGCGAACTGTTACAAATTTATGTAAATTTTCTCGAGACCAATATCGGACTTGGGATGGATTATGCCTAGCAAGTAATGGAAAAGTCGACTCATCGGTGAACACAACATTGTAAAGAAAATTGTTGTCATTGTTAACTTTATCCATTACTGCCTCGCTTAATTCCATTCGTCTGATATTGTCAGTTTCATTAATTTCTTGGCATTTTCTTACTTTATAAGATCGATATCCATGTTTTTTTAAAATTCTATTTACTGTGGTTTCACTGGAACCTACAACTTCCGCAACCTCTCTCTGAGATATCATCGGATTTTCTTCCACAGTTGCACAAATCATAATATCCCTATCTTCTTGTTCATTCTGATTATTATTAACTCGAGCCTTTTTATGTTCATTGGGAGAAACGCAGCCATGAATTTCAAAATTTTGAACAATACGATGTACTGTTGAGAGTGATGGTATGGGCCTATTTTGAAATGTCGCCTCAAACAAACCATCATGTTTACCATGTTCCTAGTACGATGGATGAATCTGTATAAAGATTGTATTCATTTAAACATTATTATTAGATTACATACTTATAAAGTACTTTTTTACCAACCTGCAAACAATATTTAACAAAAATTAATATTCAATGACAGAATGCTTAGTTTTTGTTTAAAGTTAACTGTCACTGAAACACAAAATACATCACACTAATATAACGTTTTGCAATTTTTACGTTTTTTACCAACTTTAAAAGTTCAATTTGATCAATTCGCTATTCTAACATTACTCTATAACATTATTTTTCTTTTAATTTTCTTGTTTACTATATATTGACATTATGAATAATTTGGTAATGTTATCATTCTGTTTTTGCAGATAAATTGAACAATCTATTTATTCATAAATTTAAATTTCCTAAATCCGTTTTACGTAATTCGATAAAATCTTTTCATATATGTATAGGCCACTATAGTAAACTTGATAAGGTTTTTAAATTATTGTTGTTATTATTTCAATTTCATTTTTAAATTCTCCATTTTATTTTTTAGTCCACGTGTAATGTGTTATTAATCTTTTTATTAAATGCGATATTAATTTTTAAATCAATTACTCATTGGAATTATTTCAATTTTTACAATTAAATTTATCTTATTAGCAATGAGCAATTTTTTAAGAAGACCTCCTCTTATTATGTTTTATAAAAAATCCATGTAACTACCTTCCTATAAGTAATCCCTAAACTCACCTCTAATTTATTTTAGTTACTATCTGTAACTTACCACATCCTTTGATTTTCTTTTACTATACGGAGAATGGTCGCACTGTGCAGCTTTCTGAGTACCTTTTAAAAGGAGATAGAAAACTCCGCCATTTTGATCCCTTATTACGTGTTGCCTAAATCTTGGCGCAATATTTTTAATAGGTGCGTTTTAATCATCCGCTTCTGCTTCGGAATTGTCGGTTTTCTTGTTTTAATCTGACAGGTTAAAACGACTAAACCGACAATTCCGAAAGCAGAAGCGGATGATTAAAACGCACCTGATATTTTGCTTGCTGCTGTCAGTGTCAGTGAATATTATTTTTGAAGTCACAGTTTATTGCTAAAGAATCAGTTTGCTCACTCGGACCAGTTGAAAGTTCCAAAATAACATCCACTCCAGGGATACAAATTCAGGATACGCAGAAGACTGCTGTTTTATTATAGGCGGTTACCATATATTGTATTATCCGAGTTGCGCAGTGTATAAACTGGAACATTGAGATCAAAAGTGCCGACGCAGAGTGAGCGAACTGATTCTTTAGCTATAAACTGTGACATAGGAATCAAAATGGCCGCGCCCTATGTTGGGCGTGTCGGACCTCTCTCTTGCACCGTATAGTAATCAAAGTATGTGGTAACTTAATAGACACGTTTGAGGATCGTTTGTTAATTAGGCTTATTGTTAGAGCAAAATATACCATCTCAGATGGCTTTTACATTATAATACCTACTTTAAGACAAATGAGAGATCTCTGACATAAATATTATCATTTATCATTAATGTAATTTTTAAAGATTGATTGAAAATTTTCATTACAGGTGATGCAGCTCTTTTCGGTATTAACGGTTTCAACATGTTACTGGACGGCGGTTATTCAAGAAAAGCTTGTTTTTGGGACTTTGTGAGACATTTAGATAGGTTAGATGCTGTGCTAATGACAAGACTGAATAATAGTAATGTAGGAGGAATTAGTTCAGTGCTGAGAAGGAAGAAGCAAGATGCTCTTTATCCACAGATAGGACATTTTTTTTGTAACATACAGGTAAGAAAGTACACTTAAAGAAAATATCATATATATGTTTCTGCCGTTTTGACATTCAGGGCACAAGTTTTCTCTTGCTTTTATTGCCATTTTCCAAATCATTTCAAAATTATTAACGATTATTATTTCGTTCATGAACAACTAATAAAATTTATTTAATTCTATTTTTAGGAAAGAAAATCAAGTTTGAGTCCAGACGGAGATAAAGACAAGGATCCATTATTGATCAATCTGTTAGATGAAGGTCAAGAAATCATATCTAATCTACGCCATTTAAATTTAAATCCTCAGGTCTGCTATAGAGATTCCGAGCCCATTAATTTGTACCATAAAGTAGGACATGGTACTTTAGATATGTACGTACTAAGTCCGGCCAAAGATTCTAGAGAAGTTAGGGAATTCCTCATCAAGTGGAACCACAGCGACCAAAAATTATTTGCCAATGCTAAATCTAGTCGAGAATTTAGTTTTCCTATTCAAAATCTAATTTCTATATCTGCCTTGCTAGTATGGCGTCCCGCAAATGCCAACGATACCATAACTAGGATACTTTACCCAGGAAGTTGTCCTCAGAATAAAATACTGGAAGGATTAGATAGGTTAAAGAATTTAGAATTCATCAAGCACCCCACGTGTACCGAAAAATCTCTCGCACCCATTTCAACCACGAAGAAGACTGCCAAAGAAGCCATATTCGACAAAATCATTCCTAAAGAAAGACCACCAATCGAGAAGAAGGAAAATAAGTTAATTGAAAATGACTTACCCCCAGTCAACGGAGATATCAAAGAAAAAGATAAAATCGTTAAAAAATCCGACTCAACAGAAAGCGACCGAAGCATCAAAGTAAAAAAACCAGAAGAGCCTAAAATAATCGAAAATGGAGACAAACCTAAACCCAAATCGAAACCTCAAAAGCCTAGAGGCGACTCTCAACAAAGGAGAAAGCCGGTAGAAAAGAAATCACCAACTTTCTCCAAAAAAACAATTGAAAATGGAGACATAAAAAAATCCACGAAACAATCCCCAATATCAACACCAGCGAAGAGTGCCAAAGATGCCAGCAATAGAAAAGTTATCGAAAATAAGGCTAAAAAAGAAGTGAGCAAAGCTCAACTACCAATCGAAACTAAACCGAAAGCTGAAAAAGTTGAAAGAAAACCAATTTCTAGACGCCCTCCTGTTAAAAAGGCACCCATCAGTCCAGCTAAAAAAATAGTAAACGGCATACAAAAACCTGACAGCATTTCAAGAAAAGGAAAACTAGACAAAGAAGGCACTACTGATTCGAGCACTGTTAGTACTCCTTCCGCAGATCAAGAAAGTGTACTTAAGAAAGACATATCAAAACTCACACCGGAAGAATTCCATCAGATGAAAGCTCAAGAACTTGCCGAGCTTAAGGAAGAACAAGAGGCTGTTAAAGAAATCGAAGCTGTTTTTAGAAAAGGTGAAGACCATAAGGTCGTAGATGAAGCAGTACGAAAGGTAAAAGACATTTCTATAGACGACAAACTAGAACCTGAAGAATACCTCATTATCGAAAAAGAAGTAATTGAACAAGTTTCTATTGAAGAAAAAGAAACCAAAGATGAAAACCAAAAACTCGCAAGAGATAGCGAAGAATCTGAAAAACAAAGAAAAGCTAGTACCGAAGAGCAGGAAGCAGACAAACAAAAAATTCAGGAACAATTAAACGGTGTTTCTACTGAAATTGAAGATACACCTAAACCACAAGAAGAACCGATAATAACAAGTAAAGTAACCAGCCCTGAAGAAAAAGTCGATGTTTCTACCGACAAAAAAATTACGGACAAGGAGGGCGATGAAGAAGGTAAAGATATCGCTGAATCTCAACCCGAAGAAAAAGTATCGGCTAACATTAAATCTGGAGATACTACTACAGCTCCAACTTTACCTGAAGATGAACGAATTCCTCTCGATGAAATTAAAGAAGACATCGGTCCCATTGAAGAAAAACACGTCAAAGAAGATACCAAAGAAAAAGAAATACCAGCAATACATGTTCCACCTAAAACTTTTGAAAATGTCACAAAACTACCTGCCGTTGTTGGTATCAGATTAGACAAACAACAACATATAAGAGACATCGTAAAAACACCTGACGAGGTAGCCGATTTGCCAGTACACGAAGAGGTTGACTACGAATATACACAGGAATTGAAAGTTGAAATGCCGAAATCAAATGAAATTATTGAGAAGAAAGATGACCAAGAAAAAGAAGCTGGAATGAGCAAAGAGGATCTCAAAGAAGAAGCAGAAAAAGACTTAGACGAGGTTCTCGTTAGAAAATCATCTGTCATGCAAGATGAATTAAAAACTCTTACAGAGATTGTCTTAAAGAACGAATTAGAAAAAGACATTTTGAAAGACTATGACAAAACTACTAAAGAGGCAGTAACAGCATTACAACATGCGAAAGTAGAAACAAAATCAGAAATTACAGAGACCAAAAAAGAAGCAGATAAAGATGATAAAATTCAAGAAATACTTGTAGAAACAATTGAAACAGAAGAACAAGAACCCTTAGCCCGAAAGAAGAGATCCCTTGACATCGACGAAACGGAACTAATGGAAAAAGAAGAAAAACGAATTAAAGAGGAAGTGAAGGAAGATACTAAATATGAAATTGAAGAGGAAGATAAAAAGGAAGTAAAGGAAGATACCAAAGATGAAGTTAAAGGAGAATTACTAAAGGAAGACACTAAAGAAGAAGTTAAAGAAGAATTACTGAAGGAATACACTAAAGAAGAAGTTAAAGGAGAATTAAAGGCCGATTCTAAAGATGAAATTAAAGAAGAAGTGAAGGAAGATACTAAAGAAGAAGTTAAAGAAAAGAGTAAAGAAGAACTACCAGAAGAAGACACTAAAGAGGAAGTTAAAGGAGAATTAAAGACAGATATTAAAAAGGAAATTAAAGAAGAAGAGAAGGAAGACACTAAAGAGGAAGATAAAGGTGAATTAAAGACAGATATTAAAAAGGAAATTAAAGAAGAAGAGAAGGAAGACACTAAAGATAAAATTAAAGAAGAACTACTGAAGAAAGACACTCAAGAGGAAGTTAAAGAAGAATTAAAGACAGATTCTAAAGAGGAAATTAAAGATGAAATTAAAGAAGAAGTTAAGGAAGAAGTTGAAGAAAAAGTTAAAGAAGAAGCTAAAGAAGAAGTTAAAGAAGAAGTTAAGAAAGAAGTTAAAGAAGAAGTTAAAGAAGAAGTTAAGGAAGAAGTTAAAGAAGAAGTTAAAGAAGAAGTTAAAGAAGAAGTTACAAAAGAAGTCAAAGAACAAGTTAAAGAACAAGTAAAAGAAGAAGTTAAAGAAGAAGTTAAAGAAGAAGTTAAAGAAGAAGTTAAAGAAGAAGTTAAAGAAGAAGTTAAAGAAGAAGTTAAAGAAGAAGTTAAAGAAGAAGTTAAAGAAGAAGTTAAAGAAGAAGTTAAAGAAGAAGTTAAAGAAGAAGTTAAAGAAGAAATTAAAGAAGAAGTTAAAGAAGAAGTTAAAGAAGAAGTTAAAGAAGAAGTTAAAGAAGAAGTTAAAAAAGAAGTTAAAGAAGAAGTTAAAGATGAAGTTAAAGAAGTACTACTGAAGAAAGACGCTAAAGAGGAAGTTAAAGAAGAATTAAAGACATATTCTAAAGAGGAAATTAAAGAAGAAGTTAAAGAAGAAGTTAAAAAAGAAATTAAAGAAGTTAAAGAAGAAGTTAAAGAAGAAGTTAAAGAAGAAGTTAAAGACAAGGCAGATTCTAGAGAACAAATTAAAGAAGTGAAAAAAGACACTACTAAAGAGGAAGTTAAAGAAGAAGTCAAGGTAGAAACTAAAGCGGAAGTTAAAGAAGTGAAAGAAAACACTAAAAAGGAACTTGCAGAAAAACTGAAGGAAGAAATCAAAGAAGTGAAATTAGAAACTAACGAAGTGAAAGAAGAAACTAAAGTCGATCTTAAAAAGGTTGAAGAAAGCCAAGTCTTAATTAAAGAAACCGAAGAAATTTCGATTTTGAAAGAGACAGATGAAATAAAAAGTCCAAGAATAGAAGTATCTCAAAAAGTAATTGAAGAAATAACTCAAGAAAAAGAAGAAAAAGTTAAAGATGAAACTGTTATTTTTGAAAATAAAGATGTGGTCAACGAAGATAGTACTAAAGAAGTGCCTAAACAGGAAACAAAAGAACACATTATAAAAAAAGTTGAAGATGATCAACCAGTTTCTATAGATCAAACAAGTCTAAATGAGAAAGAAACTAAAATACAAGAAGATGTTCCTATAAAATATTCACTTAAAGAAGATATTGAAGTATCTAATGAAATTTCTAAAGAAACCGATACCAAGGAATCTAAATCAATAGACGAAGAAAAGACTGAAGTTGTGCCTACAATTGATGTCCAACTAAACAGAATTTCAGAAAAAACTAAACACGATAGACAAGAAACTGTTGATCAAATGCAGAAGATCGATGACAAACTACAAAATCTAAGAGACGCATTGGTTGAGCAAGAAGTTAAAGCAGACAAAACTGTAGAAATTGTAGAAATTAAAGAAGAAAAAATTAACGAAGATATTGAAAAGGTTGCAGATATTCTTTCAGACGTAGATAAATTCGAGTTAGGTAGAAAATCACCTAAAGAACGAGAGGAAGATGTAATGAAAATAGTTGCCGGAGTGGCGGAGGTTTTAAAATCAGAGGTCCCATTAGAAAAATTCGAAGCTAAAATTCCGATTACTACCTCTTTCAGTACTTACACAGCACCATATCCCACCGAACTTCGAGAAACACATATTACCACAATCGATTCTCCAACTATCGAAATGAAAGTAATCAATACTGATATACCACCAATTCCTGAAGAACCACATTACATCACATCTTCATTTTTGGAAGAAGAGCGTAAAATTGCTCCGATTCACGAAGCCGATTCTACTAAATACGAAGAGAAGTCCGAAGATAAGCGAAACAGTCTTCTGAAAGAATCTCAAGAACTTATGATGGCAACTTCTAAAATGTTATCTGACATTAGATTAGGAAAAGGGGAACCCCAACCAGAGTCTGAAGAAATGAAAGGACAAGCTGATAAACCTGAAGAAGAAAGTACTGAAGAGGAAAAAGGGGATGAAGACGTTGGAATAGTACACAGAATGTTAGTAACAGCTTCAAGTGAAGACGGCGGTGAAGAAATAGAAATATGTCCTGCAGGTACCATTACATTTTCCAAAAGCTCCGAAAGTTCAGGTAGAAGTTCTCCAGATCCATCTCATAAAGCATCATCCCAAAAATCATCCATTGTTGATACTATATCAGATTCTTTGTCTACTGTTAGGCAAGTAGCTGAAATTCATTCAGAAAAAGATTCAGGTAATTGTATATAATAATTATTGTAATCCATTATTTTTAAAGTGATAATTACTTTGTTTAAGGTATTGATGATGCAGAGCAAGATAAAGATGAAAAGGATTCCACCAAAGAAGAAAAACCAGTTTCCGGAAAATCAACACCTGATATAGATGCCTCTACAAAAAGTCTTGCTTCTGGAAAATCTACTCCAGATATTTCTGATACAGAAAAATCAAAAGAAATCCCATCAATCGAAGAGATGAAGAAAGATTTACCATCCGATATTACCAAAATAGATAAAGTTGATGACAAAAAAGAAGGTGCTGGTATTTTAGACAGATTAGGTCAAAAGATTGAAGAAACTTTGACTTCAGTTGAAGAACTTATCTATTCTCAGAAAGACGATGAAACTGAAAAAAGTAAAGCAAAAATTGATAAAAAAGAAGTACAAGAACCACCGAAAGTGGAAAAAGTTTTTGAAGAAAATTCTTATTCAATATCTGCAGTAACTACTGAACCGAAAGATCTTGGTGAAGTTAAAGACACATCTGAAGCTATAGCAGAAGATGTAACTCATCCATTTCAAGAATATTTATCTAACATTGAGAACGACTTTAAAAAAGTTAAAGAAGATATGATAAAAACTACACACGATAAAAAAGAAGACATATCCGATAAAACAGCAGAGTCTGCAATTGATGAAATGGCAAAATATATGGATGATATTGAGAAATCAAAAGAATCTTTAGAAAAGAAAGTTCCAGAGGCTGAGGATAAGGTAAAAGACACAAAGCAAGATATTTCACATACAATTAAAGAACAGTTAATTGAAAAGACCGAGGCAATATCAGAATTTAAGGAACCAGCTGAAAAAGAAAAAGATAAAATAAAAGAATTGAAAGATGACGTCGCATCCAAACACGAAAAATTAGAAAGTCCTATTAATAATATAGTAAAAGATCTTAAACAAGAGGCCGCAGATGAAAAAGAAGGTTTGGAAAATATTATAAAAGATGCACAAGATACCATAAGCGAGAAGAAAGCCAAGGTAACTGCAGATCTACAGGATTCTACGGAACAAATAGATATAGCAAAAGATTCTGTATCAAAGGATATTAAAGATTCAAAAGATACTATAATTCATAAACTTGAAGACAAAGTTTCTGACATATCCAAAACTATAGAAGAAAGCAAAAAAGACATTATTGAACAAACAGATGACGCAGAGAAAGTAATAGTTGATATAACAAAAGAACAAGCTAGCATACTAGAAGAAATCAATATTAAAGAGAAAGATATAAAATCAGCTGTTCATGATTCTCCTAAAGATACTACCAGAGATATTAATGAAACTTTCGCTCAAGATATTAAAGACATCGGAGATGGCATCTTACAAAAAACAGTTCAAGACATTGCTAAAGAACAAGTCGATAATATGATTGAAAATAAAGATCAAACTGTAGAAAAACTAACAGAGTTTAAAGATAAAATAGATGATAAAAAGGAAGAATCGAAAGATGCAATTACAGAAAAAGTAGATGAATTAACAATAAAGAAGGATGGAATACTAGTAGATATTAATAATCTCAAACATGATATTGTAGGTAAAGTAGAAGATTTGGGCACTGCTTTCCAGGAACAAGTTACAGAAAAATCGGGTAAAATAAAAGAAACCGAAGAAGATCTTGTAAAAGATTTAAAAGTAGCTAAAGAAACCGTTGTTGATAAGAAAGAGGAATTAGAAAGTGCAGTTAAAGAAAAAGTTGATGATTTTAGTAAGAAGGTAGATGAAATAAAAGGAAATATTAAAGATGATTTAATGGTTAAAACTGACGTAATCGAATCAGAAACATCTGATAAAATAGATGACTTATTAAAAAAGCAAGACGAAGTTACAGATGAAGCAAAGTCTTTGCTAAAAGATAAAAAAGTAGAAGCTGATTCGGTAGTACAGGAAATCTTTGAGAGTATAACTACAACTAAAGAGTCTATTCTGCAAACTGCAAAAGATATTAAAGATACAATTGAAGTCGGTTTGAGTTCTACAAATGATGATATATCTAAAACAAAAGATCAATTAAATGATATTAAAAATGACGTTTTGGATAAAAAAGACCAAATTGAATCAGACCTACATTCTGCAGTTGATGAAAAAGTTGATCTCGTTTCAACTAAAAATGAAATCAAAGACGTCAAAGATAATATGTTGGATAAAAAAGGTAAAATTGAAGCAGACATACATTCTGCAGTAGAAGACAAAGTTAATGATTTATCTAAAAAGAAAGAAGATGCAGAGGAAGTTGAAGCGACTAAAGAAATTATCCAAATTACTGAGAGTAGCGCAACTAAAGAACTAGAATTATCAGAAGATGTGAAAGATGTTAAAGACAAAAAAGAAAAAATAGAATCCGATTTACATGAAATCACTGATGATACAATAAAAAGTGCAACAAAAGACACGCTCGATACCAAACAAATAAAACCTGATTTACATGATACACTAAACGACGATAAGCAAAATTTAACCGAAATCAAAGATGATGTATTAAAAGAAATAAAAGACTCGAAACATGATATTGTTGATAAAAAAGACCAATTAGAAGATGATATTCACGATAGTTTTAAAACAGTAATAGATACAGGACTAGATATTGTAACAGATGCACATGGTAAAAAACAAGAAATAGAAACAGAGGTAGCTGATTCAGTAGAAAATGCAAAGGAAGATATTTTAGAGAAAATGACAAAATTGGAAGAAAATGTTCATGATATTATGCAAGAAAATGTAGACGATGTGAAAGGTCTTATAGAAGATGTACACGATAAAAAAGATCTCCTAGAAACTCAGTTAAAAGACACTGTGAAGGATGCAAAAGATACCGTGTCTGAAACAAAAACTGAAGTGTTAAAAGATACCAAAGGTGACATATTAGATACAAAAGATAAATTAGAAGGTGATGTTGAAGAAAAAGTAGAAGTATGTGAGAAATTATTGCAAGAAAGTGTCGACGAAAGAAAGGATAAAGTTGAAGCTCTTTCAAAAGATATAAAAGATAACGTTGTTGAAAAGGCAGACAAATTAGCTATAAGTATGCATGATACAGTTGATGAGAAAATTGATGGCCTTAAAGAAATAAAAGAAGATATTTTAAAACAAGCAGAAAACGTTAAACAAGCCGTTTTAGACGACAAATACAAATTAGTTGAGGAAAGTAAACAAACCATAAAAGAAATTCAAGACGAGGTTAAACATGAAATTGATACCAGACATCAAGAAACCATTGAAGCTGTTTCCGTAACAAAAGATTCATTAGAAAACGATATTAAAGATTTTATTGTAGAGCAAAAGGGTACGCTTGAATCTGCAGATGAGAAATTTGATAAAACAAAAACCGAGCTGCTACAAAGTACAAAGAGCATCAAAGATGAACTTCTAGATACTAAAGAAACATTTAAAGCAATTACTAGTCAAAAATTAGATGACACTACAAAGAAAGATGAAAAACTTGGAGAAATAAAACACCATGCCGAAGATCTAGTAAAAGAAACAAAAGAAACTTTAGATAAAGAAAAGGATTCTTTAATGAAAGAAGTTGAAGATGCAAAGAAAGATATTTTGGCTAAAAAAGAAGAAATAGAATCCACCATAGCACAAGAAGCCGATATTTTATCAAAAAAGAAAGATGAAATACTTGAAGATGTTAAAGATAAAAAAGAAAAATTGCAGACTACTATCCAGGATAAAGTTGCGGAAAAAGTTGATGATTTTACAAAAGAAAAAGAAGAATTATTATCCAAAGTAAATGATGCACAAGATGCATTTAAAGCAGATATACACGAAACAGTAACTGGATTAAGCAAGAAAACAGATCAAGTCAATGATGTAATTGTTGATACTACAAAAGAAACTAAAAATACCATAATTGAACAGAAAGAAAAGTTACAAGATAAGCTTGATGATGTCAGTAAAGCCAAAGAACAACTATCGGAAAATCTAAAACATATTAAATCAACTGTGGCAGACGAAGCAAGCGAAGTTTGCAATGATGTTTTAGATAAAGCAGGTAAAGCAAAAGAAGCAGTAAAGGAAACATTCACGGAAACTAAAGAAAATCTAAAAACAGAAGCTTTAACTGTTATTGATAAAGCTGAAAAGGATGTTCAACACACTGTAACAAGTATTAAAGACGATACTATGAGTATCACGAATAAAGTAGAGAAAGTATTGTCAGAAAAAATTTCAAGTTTTGGTCAAATGTTCTCCAAAACTGACCCAACCACCAGTAGCGCTGAATCTGAAAAAATAACCAAGGATACGCCAGAAACTAAAGATGAAAAATCTCCATCAGAAATAGAAACTATGGATGAAAAAATGTCTAAAAAGGAAGAAATCCTAGAAGAAGCGGCGAATGATTTAGAAGATACTTTCGAAAACATAGTTAATATGACGCAATCGGTTATTTTTAACAAATGTGATGAACCTCAGAAAGAAAATAAAGCATTAGAAGAAGACAAACCCGAGACTGTATTAGAAAAAAGTACCAAAGATTTAGAAGAAACTTTTGAACTTGTAGAAGATATGTCGAAATCGGTAGTTTTCGAAAAATGCGAAACGCCTGGGAAAAGAAAATCTACAGACTTTGGGGAAGGTTCTGTAGAAAAATACGAAAAATTAGACGAACTCGAAAAAGGCGAAAAAGAAACAATGGAGAAAAGTAAGAAACAATCGTCCCAAGAAGATTCCAACGAGCCCAAATTTCACTCTGATATTCAAATAACTCCGCCAGAAAAAAATGAGCAAAAGACTGTTGAAATATGTGATAAAGATACTTCTAAAAGTATACGCGATACCTCTATAAAGGAAGATATTAAAGAATTTGATAAGCAAAAGGAAATACAAGATAATCTGTTACACGAAAAACAATTCCCGGGTCGTATAACACCTCCGACAGCACCTGTCAGTCCAAATATAACTGACGAAGTAAAATTCACCAGTACTACAGGTCCTTTGGTTAAAGATGCTGGAATGGTGGAAGCAGAAATATCGTCTGATTTTTCATCGCAACACTTAGACAGAGACAGCGATACTGAGGAAGAGCAGTACAGTATAACCTCTCAAGTGGCACATTCTAGAGATTCCTCACACGGAGATTTCGATTTACTTCGCAACCAGGATCCTATGAGCATGTCTTTCTACGGAGCTCTACCAGATGAAGAAGACGATGTACACGAGATATCTAAACAGAAGATTGTGGAATCAACTGTTGATAAGACCGACAGTAAAAAGAAAGAAGATAGCTCAGCTGCTCAAGCATCATCTTCAACTGGTGAAGAAAAAAAGGACCCCATTGAAACTTGGGGAAAACCCTTAGAGTTGCCAGCTCCATCTTGTTTGTATGAAATTACCAAGGCTAAATATTCAACGCCTGGTTTTAGGGACGAAGATGAAAGTGATGAACATTTAGCAAGTAACTTTAGGGCATCTCAAGCCATGGATATGATGACTGCCAGTTTTTACGGAGATTTACCTACCGCTGATAATGATCCAATCCACTCATGGGGTGAGTAAAACTTCAGTATTTTTACACAGATTTGTTTCAGAGTAAAATGTACTACGTTAATCGTTTACCTGTTTTTTTTTTATAATTTGATGTCTGTCAAATTTAATAATTGCTAAATCATTTAATTAATTCATTTGTATTCTGGAAGATGATCTTCAAAAATGCCAAGATAAACTAAATCAAAAATCATAAATAGATTAACATGTACAAAATCTAAACAACTAATATTAAGACTAGAGTATTTAAGTCAATGTGAGTTTTAACACTCTCACAAAATTAGAAAAGCTTGAATTAAAAAATTCTAGACTAACAGCACTAACATTAGTGCTTCGTGAAACTCTAGGCATGAATGAATTGAGACCAGTATTAGTTCTTATGTAGAGCTGATGAAAACTGTTTATTAATCTTTTGCTTCTAGTTAAGGCCGCCAACAACATGCTTGAAATTAATGTAGGGAGTCAACCATATATCTCTGTATCTATAATGTGTGGAGGGTGGGTTACCCCACGGCACTTAGGCCTCATTAGGCCCATTGTGCATCCTCCTGAGAAGATAGGCACCTCCTAGCTCGTGAGCCAGCCTACAGATGTAATGTAGTTGACAACGTCGCCAAGAGGTGCTTCTCTTATATCGGCCGGTGTTAGCCGATACTCGCCGAACACAAATCTTCTAACAAATGAGAGCGTCGAGCAATCGTAAAGGATATGCTCGATGGTCTCATCTTCTTGTTCGCACCCTCTGCAGAGTGCGGATTGTGACAGCCCCATGATATGGAGATGCTTTCGTACTTGGCAATGACCAATCAGAATGCCTGTGACTAGGCGAAGATTCTGTCTAGTCATAGTCAAGCATTTGTTTGCTGCAGTGTTGTCAGGATAAGTTAAGAGCTCCCTGGCAACTCTGCAGTTTCTTGTTTCATCCCATCTTTCCTTGAATTTTACAAGGGAATGTTCTTCTTTGATTAGGTCCGTCACTACCGATTTTGTAAGGCCAATAGAAGTGGCAGATCCAAAAAGTATTTGGTTGGCTGCCTTCTTGGCTAGTGAATCAGCAAGACGGTTACCTTTCGATGTGGCATGACATTTAATCCATCTTAAGGTGACCACGTTGTTGATGGATACTTCGGCCAAAGCTTCGTGACATTCTAGTACTAACCCTGAATAAATTCGTGGTCTGTTCAGGGTGAGAAGTGCTTGTCTACTATCTGTATAGATGAGCATGTTCCTTCCAGTGATATTGTTTCTGGTTATTTCTTTTTCTGCTCTGAGAATTCCCGTTAGCTCTGTTTGAACTATACTGTCACTATTGCTCACAGCCCATTTTATGTTTAGGTTTAAGAATGTGGAGTATATTTCACATCCTGAGCCTTGTTTTGTTTTAGAACCGTCGGTGTAGATATGAATCGTACCTGCCACTTCTGGCTCTTCTATTTGTTCTATTATAACTTTATATGGCTTATGAAAGATATATTTTGGTGAGATGGAGTACATGTTCGCTTGAAGCAGTGGGAGCGTACCTAGCGCCTCCTGCAAAAAGTGACGTCTGGCCTTACCAGATCCTACATCAGGCTCTATTCCAACCGTGCGTAGGCGGGTCATTTTCGTCAGAGCAACCTACTTGACATAAATATCAAGGGCAGTGAGACTAAGAATGACTTCCATTGCTATAGTCGGTGTTGTTTTCATGGCTCCTGTTATGTTGAGACATGCTGTTCTTTGAATTTATTCTAGTTTACGGATAGCTGTTAATTTTTGGGGCAACCATATAATTATTGAGCCTAAAATAATTTCAGATCTGCCTGATCTCTTCTTATTCTTAAAGTTGGTAAGGAGAATGTCCCTTGCAGTGCCGCAAAATCATAGGAATATTCATCTATCCGTGGAGTGTTTAATTTAAATGTTAAGTAGCGAAGAAATTTTCACTGAACGTGTTCTAATCTGTGAATGTGACAAATATACTGGGGGTCCCAGACTGAAGAGCAATATTCTAGCAGAGGCCTAACAAGACTACAGTACAATAACCTGATAGCATTATTACTTGTAAAGTCTGATGTGTTTCTCTTTATAAACCCAAGCATACCAAGTGCTCTGGGTACTAGTGGAACAATGTGATTGACAAATGAGACCCAAATAACACCCAGATCTCGAATGAATGCAACTTGGGGCACTTGTGTACCCTTGATATTATATCGATAATCAGTCCTGTTGATCTTCCTAGTAAAGGATATCGAGTGACACTTAGTGATGTTTAGGTCCATAGCATTATTGACACACCACTCATCAAGCCTAGCAAGATCAGACTGAAAATTAAGACAATCCTCAAGAGATGAAACTGCTAGGTAGCACTTTAGGTCATCAGAAAAGCATAAAAATTTGTCAAACTTAAAACATTCTGAGATATCATTTATAAATAATAAAAATAACAAAGATCTCAAATGGGACCCTTGGGGGACTCCAGATGGATTGGGAATGTTTTTAGATCTGTAATTATTTAATTTAACAGTTTGGAATCTTTCAGATAAATAACTCACCAGCCATTGCAATAATGTTTCCATGATCCCAGCAATCTCCAGTTTATTTAACAAAAGTTTGTTATTACATTAAGAGAAGGTTAAGTGCTCGATGGAAAACAACTAAAAAACAATAAACTCGACAAAATAAAGTTAGAAATAAAAACAAATATATTATGTTCACTTAATTTTAACTTAAGCTACAATAAAATCGAAGAACTTCTTTTGTTTTACAAGTTTCGTGGGTCCACTAAGTCAGTTACTACTACCGCGTTTTTAAATAGCACAAAAAATCTTAAATACAAACATAATTAAGTACGATTTTTATTTACTACATCAAATTTAATACGTTTCTTCAGTAAAACATTAGGCTAACCAGGTGAAATTTGTTTTAATTCACTACCAATTACACAAACCAGAATTGGTTTAACAGTCTAACAAATTGATACTAACGAGACGAAAGCTATCACAAAACTACCATTCCCCATGTTTAAGAGTTTCTGGAGAAGATGGGTGAGAAACATGGTTGCGAATTCGATATAAAATAACAACATACATTATATTTATTTACTGTAATGTATTTTGTCCATTTCATAGCAGATATCCCTAATATCTCGATCTTATGTGATTGTTTTATGAAGTATCTGTTAATCGTTTTGAGCGAATGATACTTATAAATGTTGTGTTTTAAAGTTTTGAGAATTCCATTTCATTTTAGGTAAGCCCTTAGGTTTGCCCAGTCCAGCTGCTCCAAATGACAACAAAGGCACACCGAAGAAGGAAAAGAAACTTCCTGCAACCGTAACGGCCAAAAATAAGTTGAACGATGACAAGAAGAGAGCTGAGTCGCCGTCAAAGTACAACAAAAACAAGAAAATCAATCCAGTTTACGTGGATCTGACTTACGTGCCTCATCATGGCAATACTTATTATGCATACGTGGATTTCTTCAGAAGAGTGAGAGCTAGATATTATGTGTTTTCCGGCATTGAGCCTAGTAGAGAAGTGTATAATGCTTTGTTAGAGGCTAAACAAACTTGGGAAGACAAAGAACTGGGTGAGTTATTAGAAAATATTTTATAAAAATTGGAAACCTGTTTTTATTTGAACTGTAGTTACTTGAGGTGTAATACATCCTGATATATCTGCGACTGTGTGCTATTTCTTGCGTGGTGTAGAATAAATGAAATCCTAGATGGTAGTTTTAAGTGACACTTCATTTCACAAATACAAGTTAGATGTTTGGTTCGATTACTTCTTTTTGTGTTATATAATCTTAAAAAATATTGCTTTCTTACCACTTTAAGATCTCTTAACTAACTCGTTGGAGGCAACATTGGAGGTATCGGCTCGGTTTTATGATTTCGTTTAGGAATTAATTAAAAATCTTCTATTACTCCAGTAATTACGTGCTGTATAATATTACCTTTAGCTGGAAAAATTTACGGAAGTTTTGATATTTGGGGATATGATGTATTTTTAACTACTCTTTTCGATTTTTTATTTTGCCACTTTGTAATTTTGCCGCCGTCGCCGCCATATTGTAATACATTGTGAAAAAAGAAGTATTTTTAAGATATCTTGTTACTAGTTGCGTTTACAGCAAAAATGACTCCAATACTTATTGACATAAGTTCTTTCATTGCAGGAAAGGCGCGTGTTGGGAAAACCAATCAAATAATTTTTTTACGTCATTGTTATCACGATTACTCCGGGAACTTCTCAATTCAACATGATGTTCCGAAGTGCTAAACTCTATAGGACAAAAATTTTCAACCGCGTCACAAATATTGTACAAGAATGACATTCCCATAGTCCACCTAGAAAGTACGCTCTCCTGGATTCCCCGCCCACGAGTTAGTCCACCTACCGTTTTCATCGTTTGCATAAATAATTTCTCAATAACCATGACCTTGTCAGAACGTTTAATTGTGAAACACCCTCCATCTGTAAAATACCTTTATTCTGTAGGATTCATCTTTCATCTTTTCTTTTAAACTATACATATCCTGTAAATATAAATGGCGACATTTAGCGTACAAAAAATGACCACAGGCATGAAAATAGGGCAACATTTACTGGATACTATTAACATGAAGGTCCCAGTTTCTGCTTCCTTCGGCCTCAATAAATTGTTTCATAACCATGCGAAAGTAAGAGACCCATAATTTTACAGTTGAACCATGTTACTAGACGATTTTCAAATTTTGAAGCTAATTCTTCTTGATCTGCTCCAAGTATTACAGACTTGTCGAAATTGCATACAATTTCAAGTATTACCGACTTGTCGAAATCGCATAGAATTGCTTCTAATACTGCGTGTTGGTCTGGCGATAAATCGGTTTCCTGCATGATCAATTTTGCGAGATGGACGCATGTGCTTTGTACAGACGAGAGTATGCATGACATGCATTGGGATTTTCATATTTCAATACAGCACGTATTGAGACAACTATCTTTGTTCCACAGAATTCGATTCTTATGTAATGTGTCTCTCTATTTGATTCGTTACGTGCTGAGTTCGCACATAAGAATCCCTGTCCAGATAACATCTTTTTGGTGCAAAAATTGTACTTAGAAGCTCGGATAATCCACTACCATTCATAATATACCCTATGGCTCCCCATGAACGACATCAATGCTATGACATTTTTCAATTTTGCTTCTATGCCAATCGACCAATTTGTTTTGCTTTAAAATGCAGTAGCTGATCAAAAGTGATGAAACATGTTTGCTGATTAATGACTTTTCTCAGAGGCTGTTGCTAAAACAGTAAAAATCGTGTCGGAGTTAGTCGGTGGTGCATTAATGAAAGGCAAACAAGCTATAAAAGATTTGATATGAACGATTTACTGTCACTTCTTCCATAAATTCATTCCATCCAGGTATATTGGGCAAATCAGCCCAGCAGATCTGAAGTTACTGACATTATTGTATTTGCGACTGAAGAAATAGTACGGAGATCTATAATAGGAATTCCCTGTAGACTGGAAAAGTTTATTTTCCGCCTACCTCTATCCAAAGTATACATTTCCTGACCTCATTGCGGGGAGCAAAGTCATACTTTTCCTCCCTAGGGAGGAGGAGGAAAAGTACTTTTACTCCCTAGGGAGGAAAAGTAAAAGTGACGTCATGGTATGTCATAAATGAAATAGCTTATACGGCATTGACGACCTAAACTATATTCTATTATATAAGTATGAATTTTACCGTTTATTTATAGAACACCCTGTATTTTGCAAAATAGTAAAAATCAGTAAATTGTTATTTTAATTTAACGATTTTTACATTAATAATTTGACTTCAATTCATAGATTCATCCGATTTTCGAATTTAGGACAGAAATATTATAGCATTGACAGATCAGTTTTAAAGTGCGTTACGCTATAATATATCTACAAAATATAAAATAATATTTAAAAAATGAGTGATTCAAGCGAATTTAAAGATATAAATAATACACCACCGGATATTTTGGAACAGGTTAATCCAACAGTTCAATCTCTATTACCCCAAAAATCTAAAGAAAAATACGAAAAACAGTATTTAGATTTCAAGCAATGGGCCGAAGAAAACCATATTCGTACTTACTCAGAAAAATAATTACTCTACCACAAATTAAAAATATGTAGGATGCAAGAATGAAAATAACATGCCTATAATTTATACTATACCTACTTCATAATTTTAGTTCTTTAATAAATTTTGATGTTAGATTGGGCCAAAATATAATGTCATCGTTAGGGTGTGTTAATAAAATCAACCAATTTCGGAAGGCATCGCTCAGTATAAATATTTGAATCTATTGCCTCACCCCTCACTCGTTTTTTGATTTATATTTTACGTTATTGAGGCAATTTGCTATATCATCTGTATAAAATCCGTCATTGCCTTTAATTTCCGAATGCGACAATGTGAAATATTTTTCGTCATCCATGATTACAACTTTGTTGGCTGTGAAGTGGTGTCTTCCAAATGCACAGCAACATATTGGGATTTTGCGCAGCTGTTCTTCAGTGTATTTAGGACATTTCTTCCGTTTTAGATATCTAAGCCCCTTTCTTCTTAGTTCTCTACTAATGGTCATGTGACTTACGCGAAATCTACGACCTAATTTCCGGGTCGATTTTCCCAATTGGTCTTTTGCGGCTTCCACCAACCTATTTGACTGGGCAATAGTCAAAGCTTTAGACCGTCTGCTTTTTGGAAGGTATACCTTGCATTCTGCTATAGTTTTATAAATAGTCGAAATTGCGACATCTTGACCTCTAAATATATTTACAATCTCGAAATAAGTGACCTAATCTCTGCAAAAAGAAAACTAAGGAGAAAATGGCATCAGACCATTAGATAAAACCAAACTTAATGTTTTATGTTGTATTGATGTAGATTTATCAATAGATTAAAAGAATATATTTAAAATACAACAGGATCTAAATCTAATCAAATTACATTGGAATTTCGTTATATGTCAAAAATCAATTGACCTTGCTGTCATGTCATTCCAGTAGTACCAACTATGGAATGACATGTGGCCTTTATCTTTATATTAAACTACATTATAGAACACTTAACAACGCCACCCAGCAGTTCAAAAAAAGATAAAACGAATTAAAAATGAATCTATTTGTGAGTACCTTAGTGAGTTGACAAACGATAAATCCACTGAGTATTCTCTATGGAAAGCCACATAGCGATTAAAAAGACCCAGTGAGCAGAATGCTCCAATCAGGAATACATATGGTAGCTTGACTAGAAATAATATACAAAAAGTTAATAGATTCGCAGAGCCCTTGAAAAATACCTCTTAACCAAATGAAGGAGAAGAATTACCAAACTGGGCTCCTCTATAGAGAGATGACTCAATTATCAGACCAACCTCTCCAAAGGAAATTGCAGAAGACATAAAAACAAATATTAATCCAAAAAAATCTCCCTGCTTTGATTTAATTATAGGAGAAATCTTAAAACAACTTCCGAAGAAAGCCATAATTAAACTTACACACCTGTTTAATGCCTCATTTAAACTAAGATATCTCCCTAGATTGTGAAAAGCAGCTGAAGTCATTATGATCCCCACACCAGGAAAACCTCCGAACGAAGTTTCGTCATATAGGCCAATATCTCTATTACCTATAATATTGAAACTATTTGAAAAAATACTAATAAAAAGACTGAAACCCATCATTGAAGAAAGGAAACTTATTCCAGATTACCAGTTTGGCTTTAGAGAAAACCATTCAACTATAGATCAGGTTCATAGAATCTTAAATGCGATTAAAAAAGCATTAGAAAACAAAGAAGTCTATTCAGCCATATTTCTCGATGTTGCGCAGGCTTTTGTTAAAGTATGGCATGATGGCTTAAAATATAAACTAAATGTGCTACTTCCACAACCATACTCAGAGCTATTGAATTCATACATTTCAGATAGATTCTTTAGAGTAAAACAAGATGAAGCATACCCTAAATTGAAAGAAATTAAAGCAGGAATACTACAAGGAATCGTTCTGGGACCCACTTTGAATCTGTTATACACTTGAGACATACCCTAACTAGAACAAGACACAATAGCTACATTTGCAGACGATACAGCCATCCTAGCGATAGGCAAAGATCATGAAGAGGCTGCAAATAACCTACAAACATCAGGTAATAAAATAAATAATTGGACCAAAAGATGGCGTATTAAACTAAACGAAACCAAATCTGTTAATATTAGTTTTTTCTATAAAAAATAGTCAAAGAATACCAATTAACAAAAATAATGCTCAGGTCCCTTATGCTAACTCGGCAAAATATCTAGGCATTACTTTAGATGCAAGACTTCGCTGGAAGGTCCATGTTGAAAAGAAAAGACAAGAGTTAGATATAAAATTCAAGAAAATGTACTGGTTACTTGGTAGGCATTCCAGCCTATCTACATATAACAAAATTCTATTATACAAGTTCTCAAACCAATTTGGACCCATGATTAATAAACGTCCCTTTTGGAGTGTTTTTTCACAAAAAAAGTTGTACACTCCTTCCATACACAAGATCTAACAGGTTGCTATATCGCCTGCCACGACACATTGTCGCACTCGTCACTTCACTCCATTTTTAAACTTCTAACAGTTAACATGTCTCGTAGTAGGCCTACATCGTTCTCCCTGCACACTCCATCTTCAAGCTTCGATATGGCAGCATGCCTTGGAGTCATCTTATATCGTTTTCGCTAAAAAACACTCTTTACACACACACACAGTAATTGAGCCCAAGTCGGGAAGGTTCCCATCCTGTTATACTGGATCGGAATCCTCCTGACGACCACCTCCCCACCTGACTGCTTGATTTCAGGTGGCCTCAATTTACATCTTTTGATTAGTATGCCATTCCTTCTGAAAGGGCTGTGAAGGATGACATATTATCAGCAATTTGGACAGGGTTTGCTGATGGCATTTCCCTGTTTTGTCGTCCGTTTATTCGTCATGTGTGTGCCGTTCTGTGAATGTCTCCACCTGTGAAAGCTCCCCCAGACTCCTGCTTGGCGACTGGGGGGACCTTCGTCCCCAGGTGGTTAGTCGTTAGTTGCTCAGTCCTTGTCTGAATCGCGTGCTGCGCTCTGTCTGGAATTCTGAAAGAAAATGCTGAAAGAGAACGCTGAAAGAAAATCTTAAATCTATGAGACTCTTGAATTTTGCACCCAAGGTCAGTCACTCGCCGCCGTAGTCCAGCACTTTGCGTGGTCTGGCGTGTCTTCTGTAATCCGCTCTCTCGTATTCCGTTAATTCTCTTATTTCGATATTTGGGTGTGTGCGTAGTTTCTCGAAGGTATCCGTGGCCTTCTTATGTATGAGGTCTAGAACCCTTTTGGATTCTAGGTCCCTTCTGATGACGTAATTTCGTGTATATCTATAGGCATTTGAGGCCCATCTTAAGCTGATGTTCTGCTGACTTTGGATCTTTTTCCTGTTTGTTCTACAGGTGTGTCCCCATGCCGTAGATGCGTACATGAGGATAGGCATTAGTACAGCCTGAATGATCCTCATTTTGGTCTGTAGTAGCAGCTTGCTTTTCCGTCCTATTAAGCAGTTCAGTCTCGATCTTGCTTGTTTTGTTTTCTTAACTACCATGTCCACGTGCTTCGTGAAGGTGAGTCCTTTGTCCATGATTACTCCTAGGTACCTGGCTGAGTCGGTCCATGGGATGTCCTGTCCATTCATCGTTATTTCTTCTCCTGGGGGGTGGTGTCTCTTCTTGAACAGTACAGCCTGTGTCTTCTCCGCGTTGATATTTATCTTCCATCTAATGCACCAGTCTTCTATGTCTTCCGCTGCGTCTTGTAGGTATATTGATATGAGTCCTGGCTGTGTGCTCGTGGCCGATATCGCCGTATCGTCCGCGTAGAGGGACATGGTAGTGTGTTGGGTTTTAGGGATATCCGTGGTGTATATGGTGTACAGCAGAGGTGACAGTACCGCCCCCTGAGGCACTCCCACTTCTGGGGTTCCGGTTCTTGATAGGACTTGTCCCATCTTGATCCGGAACTGCCTTCCGCCGAGGTACGACCTGAGCAGCCCTGTCATTCCTGCTGTGAACCCTTGATCCTTCATTTTGAAGATCAGCCCAGCGTGCCATACCCTGTCAAATGCCTTGACGACATCTAGGAATATGGTGCCTGTCGACTGATTTCTGTTGAATCCTCTAGTGATTCCTTCGACGAGTCTTAAGACTTGCAGTTCGGTCGAGTGTTCCTCTATGAATCCGAATTGCTCGTCGGGGATGATGTTCAGATCCCTTGTTTGTTCTCGCAGTCTTCTGAGGATGACTCTTTCCGCAATCTTACTCATAGCTGGGAGCAAGCTAATGGGTCTGTAGTTTTGCGGAAATTTGGGGTCCTTGTTTGGTTTCCGTATCATAATCACTTCCGCTTGTTTCCACAGTCTGGGGAAGTACTGAGTTCTTAAAATCCCGTTGATGATGGCCGTGAGATAGACTGTGGCTTTCAGCGGGAAGTGTTTAATCGCTCGGTTTGAGATTTTGTCCCTGCCCTCAATCAATTTATTTTGTTTTACAAACAGAACTACTGGCGTGAGATTTGCGTTCCCACAAGCAAGTAATGTAAGTAATACAGGGTAGTTCATAACTATTGGGACATAGACGAAGGGCAGGTTATTTGGACCAAAATATGGCGATAGGACCAAATATACCTTGATAAAATATTAACGAAAGTAAAAAGTAAGACTAGGACCACTTTTAAATCTATATTATCCTTTCTAGAATTAAATAAAATAAAATATTTAAAAAAATCCACCATTTCAATAAGTATTTATTTTATAATATTCTATGTTGGTGGAAAGTTGTACATCCGGCGCCGATACTGGCGACGCTCTTTGTTTACTTAATATTTATTTAATAGACGAAAAGACCTATTCTTTTTCTAATTCATATAATTTTCTCTATTACAGAAGTCACCATTATCCCAACTTACGATACCGACATCCTAGGATATTGGGTAGCCGAAAATGAAGAACTACTAACGAAGTACAAGATCGACTTATCACCTTCCGCATCTCGATGCACCATCAACCTACAAGATCACGAAACATCCTGTAGCGCCTATAGACTAGAATTTTAAATCTTACAAACAAAAAACATCACCATATATCATTTTCTAGCAATAATGAAGAAAATGTTATCTAGATTCCGAAAAGTTTCCTTACAACTTCGTAGATTGTACCTCGTTTAAAAAGCCCAAAGGTATTTTGTGAAAGAATAGGCAGGACGATATCAAGTTTTTGGAAAGGTACCATAAAATAGCTTCTAGTATTATTAACAAATTAAGTAGAATGTCAAAAATAAAAAATGGTATATCTACATATTTAATTTATGATTAATTATTAAGCAATGCAGCTTTTCTTATTTAACTTTTTTGAATCCTAGACAGTTTTTGAAAATGTGTATACAAAGGTGATTTTTTTAGCCCAAACAAAAAATGTACAGCAATTTTTATGGTAAAGCCTTACTCCAAAAATTTTCTTTGAAAATAATAGAGCCAAATCTGATTCTTCCTTCAAATAAAAATACCTCTTTCAGCAGTCTTCTTCACAAAAAAAAACATATAGCATATAGAGGTTAATGTAATAAATTTTCAAACTGCTAGGAGTTTTTTCAAGATTTCTAGAACCCTTATAAATGTTGTTCAGTTAAAAATTTTAATTCAAAATTATTCTTCGCGCAAGAAGGATAATGTTGATTATTTCAAAGTTTAAAACAAAACAAAAAAGACGTTAAGAATCGTCAAATTATATGTGAAGAAAAAATTAGATTAGAATTTTAAAATAGCTGTTAAAACATCTCGGCTAGAATTTAAGAAATAATTATTTAGTTTAGCATTAACTCTAATTACAATAGACAATCTAGATGATAAATCTGCTCAGAATTATTTACAAACGATGTAAGGCGGAGAAATCAGAATTTCCACAGCTGAAGAATTCACCAACTTAATATATTTCTTATAACCAATCATAAGTATCCGACAATGATAATCACTGGAAATATTGTTTTACTACTCCATCAAGATTACATCAACCTATTGAGGCTAAATCTATTTAAAAGTCACATTCTGGTCAAGATATAAGGCTTTAACACAAAATGGTAATCACTGCCTATCAGTTTTAGTATGCGTTATTCTGCCAAACTCATGACATTTTTCTTTTGCCTGTCTCTATCCTGGTGTGTTTTAATGCCAGAGACATTTTCTGCTAAACTAGCCCTTTCCAAACTGCAGTATCGTGCTGTAATTACTCATGGACTATTTGCTTGTGCTTTTGATCAAATCCAACACTAAGCAGGTTTCACTTTTTAAAATGTTGTAAACATTAAAATGATGATTCCATCAAGGCGAGTTTGATTTCTTTCAAGTCGCGACAAATATTTTGAAGTACAAAATGCACTCCTCGTCTTGCGCCTAGTTATAATCATCGACATTTTTATTGGACTAATAAAATCTACTAATTAGATGAGCTAGATGAAACGAATTTAAAGAGAGGAAGACTGTATTTAAGTCTCCAACTTCAGTTCGTTCATTGAGCTAAGGAGTATGTTGAGTATGCAATTATCATTTAATAATTTATAAGCGACAAAGAATGTTGTCCAAGTCTTGTCAGATAATCCCAATACAAAAATTGAGCCATTATTTAATAAAATAGAATCTAAACTATGCTCGGACGAATAATTACACAGGTTTACAAAAAAACGTCCGGACTATTTGACCAGATCACATGGTATTCCTAGGTATTTTGGCGTCCTGAATCCAATCCCGGAGTCAGTTTTGCCTCATGACGTCAGAAAAACCAGATTTTAAGCTCATTTAGAGGTCAAAATGATGATTTTTTGGAACTTGCTCCGGGACAATTTCTCAACCGATCTGTTAAGTTGAGGGGTAACTGTGTAGGTCTTGAATACCTTCCAAACATTGGAACCGGTCCCCCAATCTCGACCAGGACCAGCGCAGGGCCAGCCATGAGGATAAAATGTTGTCATGATCGTTGTATCTCGCGAATTTCGATCTGCCTGCCAAGGTGTTCAATTTCGGCGATCCGTTTACTGTGAGATAATGCCAGTAGATCCAGCACTGTCCCAAATGGCCCTCGAACATATCCAGAACATTGGAGATATGCTCAAGTGGTTCAAGGTATTCGAGCTCGCCAATTTTGCTTCCCTTGCCAACACGTAGAATTTTGACAATTGAGTTATCGACAGTTAATGCCAGCACTTCCCAAAGTGCTCCTAGAACATCGTCCAAAAATTGGGTGAAGCTGAGTATACTGTCCGGGGCAAACTAAGGTTGCAGAAAATGGCCCGAGAATCCCAACCCGCAACTTCAGAGTTTGCCACCTTTGTTTTACTGAGGCAGGCCATTGGAATTCAATCCCTCTTATAAAACGTTACATTCCACTAAGTGAATTGGTGTAGCTATCATACAATATTTGCTACTACGACTTATAGTCTGCTGATGAGTTCTGCTATTAGCATTACCCAGGAACAACGGCGGGGACGTTGCAGATACTGGTCCCTTCGGGGTGCTTGTTTATAGTGAGTCCCCTTACCTCCCACTTTTTTCTTTCCCAATTTCTCTATCTTTGCGTGCTTGTTTATGGGGTCTGCAGTTTTAATCAAAACTCTTTCTAAGCGCCTTTCTCTTACACCCCTTGTTGGTATCCCTCTTTAAGTTCCAACAGTAATCTGCCAACATGTTAATGTCCCAGAAACCTTGGTAGCGTCTTTCCATCTCTTTTATATCTTGGTGGAATCTTTCACCTTGTTCTTCGCTAAAATGTCCGAGGTTTTCTGTGAATCCAAGAAGTGGACCTTCAAGCTCATCAAACATCCAATGGCTTTATAGTTCTGGAACAAGCCCTCCACCAATTCCATATAGTTTGGGTCCTTAGTGTTTCCAAGAAATTTCTTAGGAACATTCAAGAAGCTCTTCCATGCTTCTTCCTCATCTACCGTCATCTTCTTCGAGATTCATGGCCCCTGTCCAATGTTTGGAAGGTATTCACAACCTAGACAATACCCCTCAACTTAACAGATCGCTTTAAAAATTGTCCCGGGGCCTGTTCCGAAAAAGCACCATTTTAACCTCTGAATGACCTTGAAATCTGGGTTTTCTGACGTGATGGAGCAAAACTGACCCCGGGATCGGATTCAGGACGCCAAAATACCTAGGAATACCATGGTTCGGTCAAATAGTCCGGACTTTTTTTTTTTGAAAACCTGTGTTATTATTGTTCGATAGATTAAATGTAGAACAATGTTTTTAGTGATAATTATTGTGCCAAAGGTTCCGCTGTAAGATGGTTATACCTAGTGATAATTGCACCAATTTTGGTATAGATACTCTTAGGTAAATTTTTAATGTATGAAAGATTTAGTGAGAATCTCAGTTTGCTAAACCTATTGAAGATACCAATAATAAGAGATGATTAATATACTCTGTACCTTTTAAATTGGATAAACAGGAGATAAGTTTTCTAATGTTTGTTGATTTAAAAGACTAGGGTAAGAAAATGCATATTTTCATTATATATTAATATTTAAATTAAGATTTTCAATTTCAGTTGTAGAAATTCTCCTATTTTGACATGAGACTGACGGACTTTATGCCTCGTGTTCTGTCTAGACTTTGTGACCATTGGCATATCATGTGTGGAGCCTGGGAGTGGGGTCTCTGGTCAACACGACCTAAATCTATTAGATCGCTGTTTCCTGGGCTGGCCATGCCCTCCCCCTACCCCTCCTACCTACGCCAATGGTTGCGACTCTTCGAGAATCCTACCTTGACATTAAAAATAATCACCTATACACATTACTACTTTTTTTTAAAAAACAATTTCGTTCCATAAGTTGTTAATGCTAAATTCCTACATAATTATTTCTGTAACGCTTTATGTGTTAAATAACCATTTATATCATATGTGATATAGTTTTTTGTTAGCATCTAAAAAAAAATTATAGGATCTTCGAAAGGTACTTAGGCCGTTGTTTCGTTTTATATACTAATTTTTTTGCATTTTTGTACCAAACACGCTTTTTTATCATACGCCAAAGACTTTGCAATATATGTATGCAATAGGTAACTTATTAAAGTTATTACTATATTTATTTTACCGGTTTGTCAAAGAGAGTTTGCAGCATTAATATTTTTCAAAGAAGCACACCAATTATTATTGCAGCTTTTAATAATGCATACAAATAAGACATTAAACTAATTTTGCGTATCAGGGGTCATTAGACCATTTTGTGGTTAGGTACAAAAGGAGGGGACACGTTTTAAATGTAAAGTACTCTTTGGTCAGAATTTGACGAAATTTTGATGTAGTAGAACTTGACCTATGGATCAAATATCTGTGTTGCACCAAAGTTCTGAGTTTGATAGTTTTTGATTGACAGTTTGTCCAAAATCACTATTTCATAAGTTCACATTATCATCATAAAATGCATGTTTTTGTCAATACTAGCACATAAATTAGTGAAACATTTTTTTCGTAGAACTAAATACAATTCTCTATTTGCTTTCATAGTTTTTGTACATACAACTGATATACAGGGTGAGACAATATATTGTAATGATTTATTTAATAATATATGGGAATTAATTTATTTGGTTTCAATTGTTAGTTTGTCCTGAGTTTTATATGAATTTATTTTTTTTTATTTTTTTTTATTTTTTTTTTAAATTTCTTTGACTGGACTATTATTCAATTTTTTTTTTTTTATTATTATTATTATGCCTGGTCTGTAGCTAGTCGAAGAGTAGAGATTCTAATCTCAGACAGGTGTTCTGCTATATTCTGCAAATCTATCTTATTCTTCTGTGATGAACTTTTACTACCCACCAATAGATGTCTTAACCAAATTTTTTTTTAAATTGTTATTTAGTTGTAAATCTTTTTATATAATGAAACACGAATCAGAACACAACAACTATAATAATGATTTGGATGTAAATGGACATATAATATTATCATAAAATGCAAAAAAAAAAAAAAACAAGATTAACTACCTCCTTAAATCTATTACCAAATCAGTTTCACTTACGGTAGATTCTAATTCCGTTCGAATGTTGGTATC